TCTAATATTCAAAAGTAGTTCTAAAAAGCACAATTCTATAATGCCATCGTCAAAATGTTCAGTGTTGCTTCTGAAAGGAAGACTTTGGAACCAGTTCATTGGGGCAAATGTAGCTGTTACTGCAGTATAAACTTGAAATGCTTGTGCAGTTGTTCATTTGTTTCAGCTTCTATCAATGGGACATACATGTGTTAAAAAATTAAAGAGCCAATTTTTCCACATAGAGGTAGATTTCAGTAAGGTCCTCAACTGCTAGAGCAGTGTTTTTCAAACATGGCAACTTTAAGATATGTGCGCTTCAACTCCCAGAATTCCCCAACCAGCATGTTGGGTGGGGAATTCTGGGATTTGAAGCTCACACCTCTTAAAGTTGCTAAGTTTGAAAAACATTGCTCTAGAAAGTCAGATAACTGTGGAGCTAGTTCCATGAACCCAAGGAATACTTAGACTGGTTTTCCTCAGTCTATACCTCTCTTCCCATGCTGAATGAACGGATTCAGAAAAATAGAACAGTTTCAAACCTCATTTGTGATACAGTAAAAAAAAAAAAAAAAAAAAAATGGAGGAATTTGTTTACATAAAATTTAACATCTAATTTTATAGGGCCAGTTCAATCCTTTTGCATAATTCTACACTGGTCCTTTGATCCTATCCTAAATAATATTTTAATTACCTTTTGAGACACTAAATTAGATAATACCTAGTTCTCACGCAATAGAAAACGTGGCAGCGTCTGCAATCTACCATTTCAAACTGATGACATATGCTTGAAAGACCGATAAAATCTCTATCTGACTTCATTTTTTTTTTCCTGGTCACAAGGGGTCTACCAGGGTAGATCACTCACGTAGTCTTAAGTGGTAACAGCCAAGCTTACTACCACATCTTCTTGCGACGGAACTTGTTACGATCCTAATTTATATTACCTGGGACATTAAAATATACGTACTTAAACAGAAATAAGCTGTAAACGTAACTCACTAAAATTTAGAAATTAAGAAAAAAAGCAAGAGTATTTTTTCAGGCATTATATAAATCTGCAATAACGAATTCAGAAGTGCTCATTATTATTAAAGTTGCAGTATACAGCAGAAAAAAAGTTTTAATTATTTGGACTTTGTCAAAATATTAACCTGCATTTTGAGTTGTTCTTGTTTTATGTGTTGTTTTTGAAAACCAAGGCAATTTTAAAGAATCAGGAAATGATTAGAAGCCACTCCTCTCTCTGTAAGAGGGCAATCTTTGACTTCATAAAATATTCAGTAGGTCCCCAGAATATTTAAAAGGTCATTCTGAAAGTACTATATAGTTTTTTTTTTTAATCATTAAGTTTATGATCAAGGTAATTTTAAAATTAGGAGATGATACTTTGGTGGGGAAAGCTACAGCCCTTTTGAGTGGTATTTCAATATATTTCTTCAAACATTGGCCTAGCACTGAAATTTGAATTCTCCAATCCCTAAAAATGTACCTAATATTTACAAGGGCAAGTTATATATTACATGTGGGAAACAGTGAAATTGACTAAATTAAGAAGGTGCTTGATCGTGCCCTTTACTTATCTTTCTCCCTGTTTTTGAACGTAGATGTTACTTTCATATGACAGAAAATCAGCTACAGGCTCCCTTATGTAAGGCTTCTAGAGATGTAACACACGCATATATAAAAGGTGCAAAATAAAAAATGATAGGTAACTGAGTTTGGCCCAGAAAACCACCTGTCCAGCCATCATACTTACGTAATTCTTTCTATATATTGGGGCACCTTTATGGGACAAACCAAGGCTCACTTTTATGATGCATGAAAAATGCAAATTATTTGATAAGCACAATAGATTTATTGACTGGCAACTGGCCTAATCATGAAGAGATGCTTTAAGAAACCAGTCCTTACAGATACCATACCTATTTTTGCCAATTCAATATTACCATTGCATAAATAAATGCAGCTATGAAAGAGAGGACAGACAGGGAAAACTATTTTCCTTACTGAAAGAATAATGGGCAAACCATATTTATGTAAGGAATACCTATTTTCTTAGGAACTTGCAGAAGCATTTTCAAACTCAAAATGAATTCAGGGACTTCCTTGCCAAAATAACTGCAGAACCACCAAAGGACTTGCTGAAGTGCCTGGTAGCACCAAAGTACAAAAGAGATACCACTAGTCTCAGATGTAATTGGTAATGGTTAACCCTTTGAGGGAACCTGCAAAAGAAGTTTTCAAAATCTCTCGATCATTTTTGGATCAATTTTGTGCACATAACTCCTCAGTGCTGAGATGATCAAGAATATTACAAGCCAATTTGCTTCTTTACAGCAAGAAATACTGACCCCTTTTCCTTGGCAAAAATTTGACTCTTGCTACCTGAATCAACTGCATTTGAAGCATCTGATGGCTCCGTGCAGAATTTTTGGGAGCTGCACTTTTAGCTTTCCCAAGAGATGATGGCATCTTTGGAACAAAACTGTATAGTACAAATTTTAAATAATCATAAATTATTTTAATAAATAGGTGTTTTTAAAATGACAATTTATACTGCATCTTTAAATAATGCACTTGATTTTCCTGCATTTTGATTTAAAATGGTTAAAGTGCATTAATTCAAAAATAATGAACCACTTCATCATCATTATTGTTTTTTTTAAATCATAAACATTAATATGAGTTGCTAAATCACTACTATTAGTACTGCAATCTAGCAGATTACTTGATGGTTTTGCTCTACTTAATACTGTCCAGCAGAAGAAAACAATACTATTATAAATTCAAGGAGCTCTGGCAGTCTCTTAAATTGCTGTAACATTTTAACAAAACATAAATATGAGGAAACACTTGAGATGTAAAGCTTCTAGGCCCCAGGGAAAGGAGCTTTGGGCAAAATCCACACCATTTTCAAATACATTGTGGTGTAGAAACCTGTCTTCTCCAAACAGATTTATTATTGATGTTCCACAGGCCTCTTGGGTTCCCTCTTCATCACCAGACCTCTTTTTCCATGCTATTTCACTGTAGAAACATGGACAGTAGCAGTGGTGATGCACTGTAATAGATTAACCTGAAAGGCATTAGTCACATGAGGTGTGGAAATCAATCCCTCAACTGTTATCTTTGTAATGTAATATATGTAACACACAACAAAAAAATATAAGAGGCAAGAATCAAGTGGTAATTATGTAATTTTCAGAAAGCTAAAACATCTCAAAATATACTTAATTTTTAATTATTCAGAAAAAAAATTAGTTGGATCTTATTAAAAATCTTCCGATTCTTGCATCTTCCAGCAGCAGAATGCAAGTGCGTTGCTGGACGATAACCAGATTACTTATCATTTTCCCCTCAAAACCCCAAACTCTTTTCTTCAATTTCCATATAAAATATTGGGCTTCAAGATGGTGACATCAAACTGCTGTCTGATTTCCATATGGTTTAAATAAAGGCCTTCCGGTGGTGGTGTTGCTGTTGTTGTTGAACAATTACAAAGTTCACTGCAAGGCTAGTATATGAAGATGCATCAAAATATAAACACACTTTGTACCCAAAGCCTTTGCACACACCCCAGTGGTTTTAATCTTTATGCTTTTCCACAAAATCTCATTTAAAAAAAAAATTCTGAAATCATAAATAAAAAGAAAAGGTGAAAGAGGGAGAAAGGATACGTGTGTATAGAGTTCCTGCTTTGTAACATTCGCAGCCTAATGGTGTTCTGTTGAATCACCCTCTGACAATATCTTTCAGTACAAAAGTAATATCCAAGTGAGTAGAACAAAAGAATTTGTACTTGTTCTTTAAAAAATTGTTCAGAAGACTTGTGTTTACAAATAAAAATCCCTCCCTTCCTCCTCATATATAAGCTAAAAACAAGTGTGCAGATGGTAATATCCATGGCTTTTGCTCATCCCCATTCTGACTTGAAAACACAGATAAGAAATGGCTTTCTTTGGACATGAAACGGAGAGAAACTTGATGGGCTGTCAGCATTCTGATGTGCACACAGAGCACCTATTTTGACATTCTTCCTTTTATTGCAACATGAGAGAAATTCTGGATATCCCACATTCTTCTCAGTGAAGTACTCAGGGAAGAAAATAAATAAATAATTTCCCACATACATACAGGTGCGTGCTGGACTGGGCAACTGCCTCCTTACATGCAGTGATTTTCATGTTCCTGTCTGTGCACACACATTGGTGATACAAATGTTGTAAACATGCCAGAACCCTTCCCTTCATAGCAAAGGAAGCAAAACAAATGCCTGTTGTGTGGAAGCAAATTTTGTTTTTTTCAGTGGCACTCATAGCCACCTCATCTCAGCTCTGCCATTTTTATTTTTCTCTACATGATGGTAATGCTACTTGCCACGATCTGCTGAGGGAAGTTCTACTTGTTTGAACTGTCCTCTTTCACATAATGGTCATATCCAGGAATCACATGTAGAACCCACACAGCTGGTTCTGACAGTGCCGCTGGGAGAGGAGCAGCAGCATCTGCTTGGTTTCTCAGATGCAACTATGCACCTCCCTCCACCCCTCCAGGACTGCAAAAGCAGAGAGTCCTGCAGGGCTTGGGGTAAAGCGCAGCACAGCCAACACCGGTGAAAGCAGGGCATGTGGGATCCAGTGCCACTTTGCCCCAGGCAAAAGGTACAGCCCGAGAAGAGGAGAAGTAGCCCAGTGTTTGAGAAAGGCCTTCCCTTCCCTTCCCTTAGAAAGCTAGCTAGCCAAACCATAATAGGCCATAACCCAACAAAAAGAGAAGCAGTTCACACAATGATGCCTTCCTCTTCTCAACTACAGTTCTTTGGCTATGGATGAAACTTGGTTAATTCTTAGTCGATATCTGAAGCTCTGAATAACAGAGTTGTATGGCAAGTACTCTCAAAATAATCACAGTACTTATTATTCAGAAGGCCACAAAAGGAAAACATTAAATTTGAAACCAGTGTGCAGAAGAGATTGTGTGCAACTCATAGTTTTAGTGTGTTTACAAATGTTAGGGAACCACATAAAGTTGAATTACACTTCAAAGTCCAGTTATAACTTTTTTTAAAGACTCCATTCTTGGTACACCTGACAAGGAACATCACAGGAGAAAAAACAGGGTGGATACCACTGGAAGAAACAGAATACTATGTGCTTCAAATCCAATACCAGAAATGCACAATGGAAAAAAACCCTCTCAAATCTTCAATCTAGAGAGCAGAATGCAATAGCTGAGTGCTGGATTCTTTGAAAAATGTTCCACACTTGCTCTGCACACATCCTGGGGAAAGGGGGAAGGAACCAAGTACTATTTATGGCCATGTCACATGGGAGAAATGAACAAGCAGAGTTTTTATAAAACATGTTTGGGTTTGGCATCAAACTCCCAATCACCCAAGTAAACCCATAGTTCCAAACTAGATTGTGAAAGGCACACATTTGGTTTCTGATTATTATAATCATGTGATGGGGTAATGTACCCTGATGCACATCAGTTGTGGAAAAAAGGAAAATAAAAGGGCATTAATTCCAGCTGTATTTTCTTGATATTTGCAGAATGAGACCATTCCTTCAAAACATCCTAAAAGATGGTGGACTTTTTGGGCAACAAGCACAACTGAAATGTCCTGTGTATATACAACAGAGCAAAAGGAAATACATCTTTGTATCTTTTCCCTTTTTCCAAATGTACACAGTAGGGAAGTATAAATTAGTGAATTTAAATACACAGTAATTCTATTTTTTTTTCTCCAAATAATTTGAGGGCACCCAGCCTTTAAATGGTTTCCCACTGTCCATGATCTGGCAGTACCACCAGCCATTTGGGTTCCTTTCCAATACCTCCATGCAGACACCTTCTTGAAACCCAGCAGTTTCTTCATCCCCTTCATAATCTGCAATGGAGATATAGATATCCTTAAGGTTATTATGAATGAACTGGGATTTTTCAATAGGCTTGGGCCTGACTGTGGACACTGGGATTCCATTGCGCTCAGCTGGTATGTAGGAGGCATTATCTGACCCTTCAGAGCCCAGCCGACCAGCATGTTTTATTTTAGACTCATTCATTTGTGATTGGGCAGTACTGAAAGATGAATTACGACGTACAGCCCTCAAATGGTCTGTGGCGGAAAGAGACTCATTCCTACGCAGGGAACAAGGCAGATTATTATCCTTGGGGGGTGGAGAAACAAACACTGATTGTGGCCTCACTGCTAGCTGTCTAACTCCATTTCGCAATTTGACAGGCCCAGATGTTTTGGAGAAGCCACCAGGTGGCTTATTGGGAATAGGGGGTGTTGTTCTTTTGTTCTGGTTGATAGTATTCAGTGCCTGGACCTTCTTCTCTATTTTCTCCAAACTATTGGATTTGCTTTCATTTCTTCTATTTCTTGCCTGTGATATATTGGATGTGGTATCTCCTCCACTGGAGGTGTTTTCTTGTTGCTGGTTATCAGAAGGCATCAAATAGTGAGAAGGAGCCCACCCTTCTGTTTCTCCATATTTCAAATACCACCATCCACTTGATTGCTTTTCCAACACTTCCACTTCTATTCCAGCTGGGAAACTGATTTCAGAATCTTGAACTTTTTGGTAAGAATCTGTGGTTATATACAGACATTTTGAAGGGTTGTTTTCATTCTCTGTCTTGGCTGGCTGGCTGGCATAAAATAAGGTATGGGAAGGAGATGTAATGAATTCTGCAGAATTCCTTCTGAAAGACTCTTCTGAGTTTCCAGAAGCTGTCTGAGGTGGACTTTCGGACTCCTCACTTCTTGAACCTTTAAGTCCACCTCTGAGCTGCCCAGTTGGTCTCAGATGATGACGTAAAGTGCTGATGTTCATCCTTTCTTGACTCTGAGAATCTGCTTTGTTCAGGAATGGTTTTGGCCTCACCATTGGTTTTGCTTTGCTAGATGTGAGCTCCCCAGTATCCCTCTTTGTGCTTGATTTGGGCATATTACTTAAGCCAGCATCTGAGGCAGATCTTGGTTTTGTCTCATCATTACGACTGTAATGAGGCTTCCCAAAGTTTGTTTGAACACTTTTGGGCTTTGGAAGGGAGGATTTAGGACAAATTGAACATGGAGAGTTTCTTTGGATCAAAGATAGCGAGGAACTTCGAGAATCAGAATCTCCACTAGAAAGGGAGGATTTAGGACAAATTGAACATGGAGAGTTTCTTTGGATCAAAGATAGCGAGGAACTTCGAGAATCAGAATCTCCACTAGAAAGGGAGGATTTAGGACAAATTGAACATGGAGAGTTTCTTTGGATCAAAGATAGCGAGGAACTTCGAGAATCAGAATCTCCACTAGATTCTTTGCTTGACAGCGCATCTTCTATGTAAGGTCTAAAGCCTTCATTTTCATAGATAGTTTCCTCTTCATGAGTCACATCATCAGAAGACTCTCCAACTCGAAATTTTGCTCTTTGGAGGGTTGACACAGGAGAAGGTTTCGGAAGGTGGAATGAGCTTCTGTCTGAGTTACCATCTTCTCCTTGGCTCAGCTCAGATTCTGAGTCAAGACCAAAGGCAGGCACATCGTACTCTGGTTCCTCATATCTCTGCTTGTGTGGGGAATCTTGGGCATCTCCTGAAGCTGTGGTACCAGCAGCTGTTACTTCTTCAGAATCCTTTAGTTTATTGGGAGGAGCAGGGGGAGGAACTTTGGGCCTGGTCAGAGTGCTTGTTCGCCTATTTAAATTGGGTTTCTTCCTTTTATCAATATATGATGCTGGAGCCCAGCCTTCTTTTTCTCCAATCTGAACATACCACCAGCCCCCAGAATTCTTGTCAATAACCTAGAGAAGGATTAAATCAGAAATTAATTATGGATACAAAACAGTAATACATTTATTTTTTATCCAAGCTTCTCTTTGGTTTCTGCTCACTATATGGCAAGTGTCCATCACATTTCCTATTTTAGACTTACCTCTGCCTTTTGTCCCCCATGAAAGCTTATTCCATCAGAGATACAAGACTGGAACTCTGCAATAGTATAGTATTCAACTTCCACTGATGGTGGCTCAGGAGGTTTAGGTAGCTGAAAGCCCTGTGGCAATAAACAGTGACATGTAGATTAATTAAACATGTCAGGGAACAAGGGAAGAAGACATCTAAAATTAAATTATTAGAAATCTACTTGAAAAAGACAGATAAATATAAATTGTGGCTGTTGAAACTCCCTAAGCAAAAAATCAAAGTGACATCAATGGTAGCAAATCCAATCTAAAAGTCCTAATGGTTGGAGTTGGAAATGATGGTAGTTGTATACAAAACACTGAAGAGCACTGTGTTGGGAAAGGCCATCTTAAACTCTCTTAACCCTGATATACTGAACTGCCATACTTTTGAATAAAGAACACACACAAGAATCCACATGCCACAAAATTTAACTGGATGTGAAGCTGAAGTTTCACTTTAGCACTTCTGGTAGAAAAATTAAAAATAAAGTTGACTAATACTTTAATAAGCATATGTTCTTGTACACCTCAAATGAAAGCAATAGCAATACCGTAGGGATAACATTTCATAGTGATCTGCCTAACCACCACCATAGATGAATGCCGTCACCCAGATCATAATATCTTCCCACATACAGTACTAAGAAACTTAACCTACTAATGCCACCACTTGTTTTCCTACTTGCTCAGTGGAGAAACCAAGGGTTGGTTTCCTGTACTTAGGCTCTAAATAGTTAGGCAGTGTGTTTGTGTAATACTAAATATTTAGTGCCTTAAATATAAAAGAAATCACCACTCACCAAACTAGATTCTCTTCTTGGAGGTGGCTTCATACGCAGATTTGGAGAACCTTGAGAAAGAAGGAATATTCCCAAATTATTGCCAGTGATTAAAAAAGGGAAAAAGTGATTTACAGATTATAAGAATTTAATTAACTCTTAAGTCCAGAGGCTTTTCCAATCAGTGAAAAAATACTAAATATTCTAATAGCCACTGTATTTAAAAAGCCTGCACAGATGGAAAGAATGTGCTCTAGAGGGCATCCCAGAACAGAGCATAACAGTATATTTCTTGTACTGATGTACTTGGACTTCTAGCCCTGGAAAACAGGCTTTTTCAACAACTTAATACTCCTGCATGTTCAAGTAGTGACAGGCAATCCTTATGTTTAAGCTTGAATCAATGTGCCAGTATTATTTCAAACTTGTAAGGTAAATTTGATTTCACTATTCCCAGTTATCAACCTAACGCCCATATTTTGTACCAAATGAAAATTCGAGTTACTTCAAAAGATAAGTCTATATACCACATATTACATTAATTTAAAAGGCTTATTACCAGAGAAGTATAACCATGGCCAGGTTCTCTGACAAGAAAGGAATCACTACCAGATACACTACCAGATAGATAACCAGGGAAAGGGCTTTTCCATATGGTAGCTACTAGGGGTTCCAGAGAACTAAGATGGATATAAAAATGCCTCAAGATTCAAATCTGATCTTTTGGCCAGATATGCAGTCTCATCCAAAAAAGCAGAAGACTATATCCCAAATCAAATGAACAATACATCATATTTATCTGGACTGAGGTTTGATTTAGTAGTCCTCATTCCATACGCATAAAGAGAAGAATGATTATTAATACTGTGATTATACTATACTCTATAGCTTTGGATGAACTTAGCAGCCCCATGCAGTTGTTGAATAAGGTGTCAGGTGAAAACTGAATTTGCGTACCACCAAATACCATAAAGTGATGGGCATTAGTCCCCAAATATCACTTTCTAGAATATGGCTATCAAGACGAGCAGAACCAGTCAAATGTGGTGCCTTCAACCACCATATCAGAAGGACACAAGTCCAGAAGGATACTACGATTGATTGTACTGAAATCTGCTAATAGGTTTTGATAAATTAAAAGGATGGCACTCTACTTTTCCTAGGACAAGCAATCTAAAACCATAAACCAGACTGAAATGGCTATAGCAATTAAAAATTATCGAGTCCTTTCAACATACAGATAATACTAAGACTACTAACATGGATTTCAGCTTTGTTTCAAGTCATTTCCAATACTGTAGCTGTTCGGGTAGGGATAAAATAATATGGATTGTTGTTGACCTCAGTGTGCGTGTGTGTGTGTGTCTATGCATCTATCTATACACACACATACAGCTAATTCTACACTGGTGCAAAAATCAATGTTCCTGACAGGTGAAAAAGTACCATTCTTTTTCCATTATAGATATATAGACTACTTTTCCAGATAATTTGTATAAGGAATGGGGTTCCCTACTACTTTTGTTGTGTCCATTCATTCATATAAGTTGATTGGGTATATGACAAATCTTTGTGCTTATATACCTTGCAAGGAAACAGGCTGGGAAACTAGATGTTTAGAAGCAGTATACTGGCTGATCAGAAGGGGGCATCATGGGCCTTTTCAAGAAACAGTAATTATTCTTAGGTACCAAAACTCTGCAGTTTATCATAAATCTGTGGAGGATCTGGGAATTTTACAGGGATTAGATATTGGGTCAAAGCTGAGATAGGAACTAGGATGGCAACCTGTATTCCACAGTCCAAGCACTTTGTTAGCAATATATCACTAGCTAATATTGTGTATTATTCTAGGGACAAAACAAACAGAATGGGCAGCAATGAACAACAACAACTAACAACTAGCAGCAGTTTAATCCACATAGCAGCATAGGAAAAGCAGTTTAGGAAGGCAGCTGATAGCCCTATTGCCAGTCACAGTGTGGAGCTTATTACTGTCTATTTGAATGTTAAGAACTCTGGAATTTGGACTGCTGTAGGATAAAAGCTGCAATCTTACACTAATTTACCACAGAATTAAATGGGGCTTACTTCTGAGCAACACACATTCAATTGCACATTCACATGAGGAACAATATGCAGTTCTCAGTTTTGGGTATTGGGATGCAGTTCCCCATAAAAATTATGTGTAATCTTACACATACTAAAAAAATAACTGCATGCAAAGAAGCAGTATTTTTGTGTAGGTGTTTTTAAAAGGTTTTAAACTAAAGAAATGAATTGAAAAAAACTAAATTAAATTTGGAAAAATGAACAACTGAGAAAAATCAGAATGGCAAGATTTGTTCCTCTCCAAGAGGCAGGAAAAGGTTTCAGTAATAAGCCTATTCTTCTAACAACTCTAAACCACTGTCTTCCCAATTTACAGTCCCATCCTATCTGTGCTCCAGTAATAACTAAGTGACAAGCTTTGGGAGTGGAAAAGTTAGAAGAACATCATGGTCTTACTTATTTGAGCTCTTTGTGGGGCAATCCGAGCTATGGCAGGAGACCCCTGCACCTGTTTTGCAATCTGCTTGTCTTGAGTCATCATGAAATTGCCATTGGAGTCATTGCATAAGATGGGCAAACTTATTTCTTTCTTGGTGACATGCGATTCTGTTGTTTCAATTTCTGACTGAGTTTCCTTGTCACTAGAAGATTTCTTGCTTAGCAAGTTGCTGATTTCCATGATGTTTCCTATAATTTCCACTGGTCCTGTAAGATTCTTTTTCCGAGAGGGAAGCTCATCTTTTGCTTTCTTCAGATATGATGCTGGGGCCCAGCCTTCTTTGTCTAAATATCTGGAAATATGAAAAGTGATTGCAGTTTAGCTGCTTATACCATAATTACAAAATGTGGCATGATGCAGAAATTGAGTTAGAATAATACATATGTTTTGAAAAGATGACTGAAATGATTAAAAGTTAGCAAAACTATTAAATAATCTAACCTGGTATCTTCTAATTCTTTTCTTACATTGTTCTAGTTTGATGACTAGGAACATTTCTATAAAGGATAGTTGCTACATCTGTATCATGCTTCTCCTCCAAAACTTTAAGGTGGCTTATAAGGGGTCTTTCTTCATCTTATCTTTACAACAGCCACCCTATGAAGTAGAGTGGGCTCAGAAAGAGTGATTGGTCCAAAGTCATCAAGTGAGTTTCTGTGGCTAGTCTGGTTCTTCTCAAACCTAGTTCAACACTTCAATATCTTCATCACTGTAGCACTACACCAAATTTCAAATGCATTTGAACTGTGTTATTTGTAGCATTATTTTCTATTTGCAATCATTCCATGCTTTCCACAGAAACGGCTTCTTCTCTCTCTTTTTTAACCATCAAAAAAAAAAAAAAAAAAAAAAA